AGTGACAGCATGGCGTTCTGGTGCGGTAGCACCAACATGGGCGAGAAGTGCGACAATGCAGTCTGATGCGAGCGTTTCATAGTTCTGCCACTAGTTTTAACCCACTTGATGGCTAGCTGTTGAACATGAGGACCAGCGAAAGCCATCCCCTACTGTTGTTCTTGCTGTTGAAGGTCGCAAACAGGTATAAAACGAAAGAACTGTAGCAGCCTGCGACCTTTACAGCTTACAGGGAAAATGGATCAATTTACGGCGCTGAAATAATGATCAAATTTCGATGTAGATTAATTTGTATGAAAAATTTGATGGATGTGAGAATACAACGATGAGATAGGCGAGGGTGAAAAACTTACAAGCGATGCGAAAGATGATGAACGTGATAATCACTAACTTAAAGATGATTATAAGTGACATAATCAAGTGTTTTATTCATAAAGATTTGTCCTAGAGACTTCACTATTGTCTAAGCCAATATATTAGCCAATTTTTAAGCGGTGTTGATCTACATGATTGCACTACACCGATTATTCTCGTTGGTATAATTTAAGTCGTTTTAATTTTAAGAGTTAAAAGATTGAATGTTGAATCATGAATTTAAAAAGAATTTTGTTATCCTAGATTATTTGACTAGAACTCTTTAACTGTAAGGTTGCATTTTTTCTATTTTCCTTACGCTTAAATTGTTCTGGAGGTAATTCAACAGCGTCGCTGTAGGTTGTCCAGTATTTGAGGATCACTGATTATTTAATGACAAAAAATCGCACCGCTAGAGACTTATTTTTAAATTTCCTTGTAATATTACCCTGACACACCTGTGAGTTAGTTACTACACATTACCAAATGGACTAATTTCTCTGAAATCTTTGGAATATTTTGTGGCAGCCATTCCTTCAAAATGACACGTGACGACATCGGTTTTATTTAGAGTTGAAACCCACATTAAATAATTTTATAAGACTCGTTTTCTTTATGCTTGCTTCAGCCGTTTAAGACTAGTGTTCGATACAGGAAAATAATTTCATAGAAACTAGACTGAATAATGCTTTTACTCGAAGTTGAAAATTCCAGCTGAGGAGAAAGACAGCCTCGGTTGAATTCATGTCATCCAGTAAACGTCTCCAAAGTACTGAACTACTGGCAACAGATTTAAATTTATGGAATGTTAAAATTTCAAATGACATTTTCTATAAAAAAAAAGTTTTTAAGGTGCCGGTTTGTACTTTTTCGGTAAATATAATTATCTTCCATACGAAGTTTCTTATTTCCCCGAGTAAGATCGGTTACGATCTTGCTTTTCAAACTGGAGAGTCACATGTGGGAAAACTAAATTCTGTGTCGCCCTCCCTCTCCCCAATATAAAAGATAGTCTGAATCGGTACAGGGTTCGTCATATTATGGACAATTTAAAAGTCAAAGAACGTAGGGATAACGACAACTAAACTTCGGTCTAACATCATCGTAAATGATGTCGATGAAAAGGATGCAGAATTGACTAAGCAGAATAATTGAAACCTAATCTGCATTGGTGATATATTTTTTACCTTCCCTTCGTCATGTTACACGTTCGTTTAATGCTGGTAGCGTCGAGTTATTTTTTCAATTGTATATGCGAATTCCGCCGCTGTCGGTCTCAAACCAGGATGAGAATGATATCGCGGTCTCTCGTACACCTTAGATGCCTACCCCTCTCAGTATTATCGTCATCGGAATGGACTCGGTCCGGATTATTGAGGACTGCGTAAATTATTGCGAAACTTAGAAAGATTGCGAGAAGTAGAACCTCGTTCAAGCTTCCTGAAAACTGTGGTCATAGCAGCGCAGCAACGACTGCCGAAGATTAATAGGAAGAGGGAAATGATTTTAGTAAGCAACAGAGCAGCTATTCGCTGTTAACGGAGGAGACAAACAACGCAATTCCACAACAGCCCGAATAGAATGGCCCCATGAACGAATGCCAACAATAACAGCTAACGGTAGGATATTGGAACATCTCCTAAATCAGAGGGAGAGAGTAGGAGCCAGGTGATAAAGCCGCAAAATACCGATTGAACATAGTAGAACTCCCGCCACAGAAGCGTCAGGGCTCTGGAATTTTGAGCTTCTGTGGACGGAAGATACCCTAATCAACTGTATATTTCAGGACGCATGTTTAGGTGGGTATTGTTGCCCTGGTAGAACGTAACCTGACTGAATAAATTATTTAATAGATACCTGTCAGCAGAAGAGCGGAAATGATCCGACCGGAGTTACGGGTCTCTGTTCCTAATTTGGAGATAGAATATGATTTATTCCTGGAAAACATAGAAGATGTTCCGTAAGAAGTGCTAACTGCTGAATCCATCATTCTAAGGAGCGATTTCGATGTTCATATCAAAAAAGACGCAGAAGAGCGAAATAGCGTAACTGAGAGGAACATCTTTTGCAACTTCAACAATAGTGACATGAAGTTGCAGCGATTTTATGCAAACAAAGGACTTCTAGTTATGAACATCTTCTTAGAGCATTAGCATACTTAGAATAGGGAAGCTTGTGCATGGAAGTCAGTGAACCGTACGATACTCTTGTGGTCTGAATTACGATGCTCGGTAATGTGGGAGAAGTGCAGGGGTGACAACCAATCATCAACCTGTTTTTGGTACCCTCGTTGTAAAGTAATGCATCATCATGCGAAGTCCGGACGACAAAAAAACTAAAGAATCAGACAGGAGGCATTGCCTTCTGCAGATAGGAAAGCAAAACTTGCAAACAATATCACACGACGATTTGAACAGATCCCAATAATGATCTCTGTTGTGGAAACCAATTAGAAATTCTTGGCGAGCAGCTTACTAGCGACTACCGCCGAATGCTGCGCTGCGGTAGGAATCGGAATGTAGTCACGCCTGAAGATCAGAAACGAACTTTCTGGTGGACAACAGAGGTTCAATTGAATGTCAGGGAGAAGAATACTGCATTCAAGATGTGGCTTGGAAGCAAGGAGCATTCAGTGCGAATGTGGCAAGAAGGAGCAAGCAAGCAGCATCGACATTACTTTTCAATGCGGCAGCTGATTCCTGGAAATCTTTCATTGAGTGCTGCAGTTGAATTTTTAGCCAGCAGGCAAGGGGTTTTTCAGACCATACGACGACTCCAAGATAGAAGAATGGATAGTCT